GTGTGGGGTGTCTGGGGGGGGGGGGGTTAACACTTTGTCATCACAAACCTTTGTACTTTCACTCAAGTGAAATTTACTCCTTTTCTGGAGTAATATTTAGGTGTACATTGAGGCCGTCTGGTGGACAAAAGGATGACCTATACACGAGTTGACTCTGTCAGTGCTTCAACAATGTGAAAGAACTAATAAGAGACAAATAACTACTACTCTTTTTTTTATATATATATTATACTGTGTAATTAAAATGTCTACATTATTAAACTGAGGTGAAAACCAAAGACGCTGGTTCATGCGTTAACTTAAACTCACTGAGATCATCGACATTTCAAAACGTTTCGAACAGTTATGACGTAACGAAGCCTCGTTTACTGATGATTCATTACAAACGATTCGCAAAGGGTTTTAATCTTTACGTAACGACGTCACCAGCACTTAGCCCCTCCCTCTCCAGGAAGTTGAGAAAGTTACTAGAAAGTAACAGGCAGCTTACTTTCTAGTAAACGCTTACTCTTAGTCCGTAGGCTTGTTATCCGTCTTCGTTGCTTGAGAGAGTCTCAGTAAACACCACAGGAGAAAATTTCCTTCATCTTAAACGTGAGTATATACATATTAAATAAATGCTTGCAGAACGTCGTTTTTACTGTAATGTTATGTAAGTTATACAGATGTTTCAAATGCATTTCATCGCTTTAAAGGTTGTTAACTTTATTCTGGGGTTTGTTGACAGTCTCACACCCACCATCAGTTTGTTTTTAGCCTTTGCGCAGCACAAGCCCATTATAATTTTGTACATGAACCTGTTTGGTACATTACTGCATAATTAGAAAATGCCCTTTCATTTCCCTGTCCATAGCTCATCTCTGGCAGCTTTCAGTTCGTGTTTGATTTGATCCGGAGGCTCGTTGGCATAAAAAGAAAACCTGCCATTACTCTTGAAGACCCTAATACGAAGTATGCTTTGCGTCTTGTGGACAAAGTGGTGAGGATATTTTAAAATGTAGTGGTTTAACTTGTATATAAATAGATTTTATTAGTAGTAACAGCTAATTTAATTTCTCTCTTTTAAGATTACCAGTCATGATACAAGAAGGTTGCGCTTTGCTTTAAAATCACCTGAACATGTTCTTGGACTTCCTATCGGTGAGTGCAGTATTAAGACCGTTGCGTTTATTTTAAGTTCAATCACATACAAGTACAAGGCAAATATAAGGCTGTCTTTAAAGCATGTAAAACAATAAAAAAAAAGTGATACTTGTTTTTGTGCTACTGTAAAGCCTATCTATGACAAGCAATCGATTTCTCCACTCAAATCGTCCATGTAACCGTCATTTAGCCTAAAATTCTCTCCATAAGACGCTGAAATGTTCCGGGAGCATTGCAAAGCCCAAAAGGCATACGATTAAACTGATACAGGCCAAATGGAGTACAAAAAGCCGTCTTTTGTTTGTCCTTCTCAGCAACCTCCACTTGATTATAACCGCTAGCGAGGTCCAAGGTTGAAAACCACTGGGCCCCGCTAAGCGCATCAAGTGACTCCTCTATCCTAGGGAGTGGATATGCATCTTTTCTTGTCTTTAAATTTAACTGTCGATAGTCAACGCACATCCGCATATTGCCATTTTTCTTCTTAACAATAACCAAAGGTGAGGAATATGGACTACAGCTCTCACTAATAATACCTTGCTCCAAAAGTTGTCTAATATGATCCTTCACCTCTTCATATTGGCTTGGTGGAAGACGGCGATAACGCTGACGAACTGGGACATCATCAGTGACTGGTATCTCATGCTGTATAATTGAGGTGCACCCTAGATCATTATCACTGTAAGCAAACACCTCAGCATAATCATTCAGTAATGCTTTAACCTGAGCTATCTGCTGACTTTCCAGTAAAGGATATTCAAATTGAAAATCATATGAAAAGGTAGATCCAGCCTCTTGACTCAAAACCAAAGCCTCTTTGGAACCTAATGAAATCTGAACCTCCCCAGGACCTACATTTCGAAAAGAAATAGACTTTGAGCCTCCTGCTATTACCTCTGCTACATGCAAGCGTGCCAGGCGTGTATGAGGGGCCAGGCTGATATCTAAAGCACCAGCATTTACAATAGGAACAGCTAACTGGCCGCCCTGCACCTTCACCAAACCTGGAGATACCATCAGGGACCCAGGTAAAATCCCTTCATCTACCTCTAACCCCTCTACCAAAGCGATATAATCTGAACCATGAGTGTTCTGGAAACCTGTAGCAGGAACCAAACACATAGAACCTGCAGGTACCAGTACAGGTGAAGGGGCCCTCACTTTTGCAAAGCCCTGGTACACTTGAGCACATTGTCCAGGTGACATTACATTAAAAGAATCAGACCAAATTTCACTGCAATCTTTTATTAAGTTCATGCCCACCAATCCTGGAACAGTTTTTCTCTTCAATTTTGTTACAGGGTCTGTTGGATCTTTCACCACCAAAACGCCACGCTGTGACAAGACCTTATCCATAATTTGAACATCAATTTCCAAATAACCCAAGTACGGTATAGAAAGGCCATTTGCTGCTTTTAAAGACAGCCACCCACATTCTTTTAGAACATCCTCCCCTTTACACTCAAAATGTTCCTTAAAAAAACTCTCGGTTATGATGGTGACCATAGAGCCTGTATCTATCATAGATGGAACACATACTCCACCCATATACACATCCATAACTGGAGTAGGTCCTGTAAGCGCATGGAATACTTTTTCCCACGAAAGGGTGAAATCACCCGAGCCCAACTGTTCCCCTCCCGTAGTCTGGCTCTTAACTACAGAGGGAATTTGTTTCCCTGTTGCATAGTAGTTTGGACAGCTGGCCCCCTAGCCAACTCAGATGGTGTTACTTGACGTCCATCGTCACTGACAGTATTCACATTTGAACAAAATCGTGCAATATGTCCTACTCCCTGACATCTAAAACAAATAGGTCTTCCTGCTGAATCATACCTGGGTTCCTGTCTTGGCCTACGCCCCCGTCTCCCTTCAAAAACTTGAAGTCGTGCTACCTGCTGTGCAAGCCCCTCTAATTTCTCCTCCTGCTTCCTCATTGCATCTCTAAGTTCAAGAAGAAAAGAATCAGGGTTAACAGAATTATTGGTTGTAGTAATACCAGAGCATTCAGCTGCTGCATCTTCTGGTGCTAAATTATAGGGAGCTCTATCAGGCACATTATCTTCTTCCCAAAACAGCATAGCTTCTCTCTGCAACGCTGAGAATTTGATATTTGGGTCTTGTCTAATTAACCGTTTTAATTCTCGACGAAGTGAAGGGTCTCTTACATTCTCTGCAAACTGATTTCTTATTGTCTGCTCCCCACACAACTCCACTCCTCTATTACAACGATTTATATCCCCTGCCAAAGATAACTGAATGAGAAAATTCCCGCAACCCCTCACCTGCTTTCTGTTTTCTGTCAAAAAAAAACGCTTTTGAGAAGCAGTCAGAGAATAAGGATGGCCATATGCCTCCTTTAAAACCTCTAGAATCAACGTAGGGCTCCTGCGTACCTCAGGTGTGCTATATCTTATCTCCTGTTTAGCTCCCCCCTCCAAATGATCATAGAGAAATGCTGCCTGTTCTCTTTCTCTATATTGTCGGTAATTCATAGAGTTCTGCACTTCATCAACCCAATCATAATAGGAGATAGTACCTGGATCACCAGAAAACATTAACATCTTTTTATCTTTAGGCACATAAATCACTTCAACAGATGTTGTAACTTTACTTGTGGAGGCCGACGAGGCCGCTGAATAAGCCAGGCCTGCATCTGAAGGAGAATGTGAAGTTTCCAAAGGATCTGTTGTTGTTACTTGTTGTAACTGGGCAGTCAATGCTTCATTCTGTTGTTTAAGTTCATCCATCGCTGCTTTTTCCTTAACCAGCCTTTCCCGCAACGCAGCAAGCTCTTGCTCCATCATTTGGAAGTCAGTCATACAACAACAGTCTTTATATCCCAAGCAGTTTCACTGAAGTCTCTTGTCTCTTGCTCCACACTCCTCGACTCTTCAGCCTATGTCACTGTTTTGAAACCTCACCTTACTCTACATCAACTCGCTACCAATTGAAGATCCTGTTCGTGACGCCAAACTGTAAAGCCTATCTATGACAAGCAATCGATTTCTCCACTCAAATCGTCCATGTAACCGTCATTTATTAACAACTCGACAAAAGTTCTAAAACATAAATAGGCTTAGCTGGTAGCAAGTTGATACCGGAAGGGTTCAACACCCCCCAATATATCGTGTGCAAATGTGCAATAATTTATATCAGACATAAATAGTAATTCAAAACAGTGACACAAACCAGCTCCTAGTACCAGCTACGACAACAGTTTTCCAACTCTGGCACAAACCATCATTGCCGTCTAACAACAGCTACAACAACTGTTTTCCAAAGCTGGCATAAATCATCATTGCGGTCTCCAAGAAAGAAATCACAACCACCCATCTGGCATTCAGCGTGCACGCCGCCATTACCCCAAAGCTAATACCATGCCATTCATAAAGGACGTGAAACTACCGTACTCCCCCTACCAAACAGGACTACCATAAATACTATAGTGGTTGTAACCATCACACTACATTTAACGTTTATGCATTGCATATGTAGGACAACACATCTACCTGTCTGCCAAGATTGATGGCAACCTTGTGGTGAGGCCTTACACCCCTGTGTCTAGTGATGATGACAAAGGCTTTGTTGACCTGGTTGTGAAGGTATAACATACAATAAATATAACTGTAAAACAAACATTTTTCGCATCTAGAACTTTTTTAAAGTTCATTTTAAGTTTAAACATTTTGTTGCCTCATTTCAGATATACTACAAAAATGTCCATCCAAAGTTTCCCGAGGGTGGGAAGATGTCTCAGTACTTGGAGAGCCTTCGTATTGGTGACACAATTGATTTCAGAGGACCAAGTGGACTGCTGGTTTACAAAGGCAGAGGTTTGTAGTTTTAAAAAATCCACCGTGAGTCAGGACAATGCTATGAAAACATCTACTGTTGCAAGGAAAATGAAAATTAATTGCACATGAACATTCTGGAAGCATAAAAATATTTGACTGTCAAACACATTATAACATTCATTTCAAAACGATACAGTATCAACTTTTCTGCAGGATCATTTGCAATCAAGCCTGATAAGAAATCAGACCCTGTGATTAAAACTGCAAAACATGTTGGCATGATTGCTGGGGGAACAGGTAAGCACATGAGCCTTTTTTTTTTTTTTTTTGAGAACAATTGTAGGGATTTTCTTGCGAATTCATCTTTATTTCTTTTAGGCATTACACCTATGCTCCAGATAATCCAAGCAATCATGAATGATCCAAAGGATGAGACCGTGTGTTACTTACTTTTCGCAAACCAAGTGAGCCAAGGATTTTCTTCCATTTTTATGCACATACATATGTACTAATTATGCACAAAAATATATTTAATGTTAAAAGTGCAGTTACTCACAAAAATACATCTCTTTGGTTCAGTGAGTTTGTTGTCATGAAAAGTATGTCAAACTAATAATTATTCCCACTCACTACTCTTTTTGTCTTCTCCAACAGACAGAAAAAGACATTCTCCTGCGTACGGAGTTAGAAGAGGTCATGGCCAGTCACCCAACACGTTTTAAGTTGTGGTACACCGTCGACAGAGCTCCAGATGGTAAGAATCTCTTGCCTTTGTAGATGCTGTTTAGCAAAATGAAAAACCTCAGTTTGGGTGACTTACTCAATTTCAACTAGACATTAAAAATCAAGCAGAAGGTGACGAGCTGAAATAATCAACTTCATGTGTTAGGTTGGGAGTACAGCCAAGGCTTCATCAATGAGGACATGGTGAGGAACCACCTTCCTCCACCCACAGATGACACACTCATCCTCATGTGCGGACCTCCTCCCATGATTCAGTTCGCCTGCAACCCCAGCCTGGACAAGGTGGGCCAGTCCAATGACAGGCGCTTCACCTTCTAGAAGGATGTCACCTGAAACCAAGCAGTTAAAAAGTCAAAATTATAGCCATGCTACCACCTGCTCTTATATATTCCACATGCACAGTAACTGAAAAGGATCTATAATAATGCAAAAAAAAAAAAAAGCCTTTACCTTTCACTTTATATCAAAATGTACCAGCTGTGTTCCTGAGAAACCTCTGCATGCAAGATGTACCTGCCAATCAAGTCATTTGTTTTTTTTGTGCTTTTTAAGGCATCTTAAATGCAAACAAAAAGTGTTGCTTTTATTTCAGCAGATGCTGGATGATATTGGATTGAAGTCATTTAATGTGTCAAGATTTTTCACTTGCTTAATTTATGCAATTTATAAGCCTCAACGGATATTGGTGATGGATAATTTACAATTATAGTGTCCGTGTTACACGTCATTTTTACATTAGCAGAAACAACAAGCTGTTCGTCAGAGTAAGTACAAGGTTCATATTGTGCATTAGTTTTATGCTATATATATATATATATATATATGTAATCCTTCTGTAACATGGATGCTGAAATGGGACCTGGTGTTGTGTACACAGTTCATTTGTCTAGGTCTGCATTTTTTGATTCTGGTCCAGCGCTGCATATTAGTTTGTCTCTCTCGCCTGATTCAACTCTGTATAAGCTGCATGAACTCAACTGAGTGTCAGATTAGAGAGGAAAACGAAAGTGCAGGACCAGGATTAAGAAGAACCACTGTTTTAAGTAGTCAAGACAAAAAAAAAATTTACCAACAAATCAAGAGGTTATCAAAATTTTCAATCTGTCCCTTATTAAGTGTCTTTCTGTAAACCTTATTATGTTGCATTGTTGATTTGATTCAGTTCTAAGTGCATGATTCCATACAGTAAATGTATTTAAAGAGTAAAAACAAATGATTTATGACCTGTTTGCAGCTCATGTAACTTGTCTACATGGCCAAAAAGCATTTCTGCAATATTTTTGCATTTACCAATAAAGGTATATTCTTTATTGATTTTGTAGAAGTTCATATTTCAGAGTGTTTCATGTCAAAATGCTCTCTAAAATAATTTTATTTCTACAAAATGCCAAAAGAAATATCCCCAACAAAGGAATGTTTGTTTAATATTTATTGCCCAATCTTTCAACAAACTGATGATACAGTTCTGTCAATGTTTGCGTTGGCCGATCTGAACGTCTCACTGGTTTCGTTACTGAATGAACCCGTGTTTCGAACGAATCGGCTCATCAAATCGACTCAAACGACTCGTTCATAAAGACAGTCGTTTGTCGCCACCTGCTGGCGTAACAATGTAACGCGCAGAATGAAAACACGCAAACAGAGTGGAGAACTGTAACACCTCTTGTGACGGATTGGTCGTTTTACCTAAATGGCGTGACGTAATTTTAAACCAATTGCAACGTGTAAAACAGGAAGAAGGGCGTGTCCGTTTTACAGGTCGCAGTCAGGCTGATCGAAAAATGATAGTTGATTCCATTTTGTAATATTTGCAAACATGATAAGTAAATATTTGATAATGAATTTAGTTATAAACTATTCTTAAAAAGAGTACCTTATCATATTTTGGTAGTGCTGGTAATGCCATTTTCTTAAAAAGGTAAAGAAAAACAAAATATATATGTATATGTCAAAGGGGAAAAAATATTAAAGGGATATTTTTTTATTTCTGTCTCTTTTGTTTTAACAACAAAATGACTTCTTGCATGTTAGTTACACCTCACTGATTTGGTGGACAACATTTTTAATGTAAATAAAAATGTAAACAAATTGCTTCACTGCTACTTCAAAATATTTTTAAAAAGCAAATGAAAAATATTATGCCAAATTACAACCCCTTTAATTTTTTTCAAGAATTTCACTCTTTTTATCAGTAACACCACCTAAACACTTTTTTTTTTTTACTTTAAGCACTACAACAACAAAAAATACTTTTAGTATAAAGAAGTTTATTCAATGTAGTTATTGTCTATATATGATTAACTTTCTATTTACAGACAAAATAATTAGCATTACGTCTGCATGTGAACTACATGCAAATAATTTTGGACTAAACACATCTAATCAACTGTTCCCACAGCAGTTTCTCACACTGAGTTTCTGAGAAATGTTGAAAAATAAACCCACACTACCTACTTGACACTAATTTGGACCATTAAGGTTTTCATTGTGTAACGTTTTCTTATGTGCTATTTAATCTTGTTCTGTTTTTTTGTAGATCTGGGATTCTTTGACTCTTTAACTGTGCCATTGCCCTAAACTTCCTGGCCTTTGGTTTTTCAGACAAACAGGTAAGATGAAAGATAAGCACTCACCACCAGTGTTTTTAAGTGACGTCACATGTGGCCAAGTATGGTGACCCATACTTGGAATTAGTGCTCTGCATTTTAACCCATCCAAAGTGCACACACACAGCAGTGAACACACACACACACCCGGAGCAGTGGGCAGGGTTACGAGTCCGACTCTCTAACCATTAGGCCACGACTTCTATTATTAATATATAATAATAATAATAATAACCTATTTTTTTATTATTTATATATATAATTATTATTATTATGAAATATATAGTGTCTTTCTATTCATATTCTATAAACAATTTGGCAGAAACAGGTGGAATGGGCATAATTTACAAAATGCCAGCTATCAGTTTGAAAGCCACAGTGGCGCTAGTGACTCAACTCATGTTCTTGGGGGAAAAGGCTTTGATAGAGACAAGTGTTCAAGTCCAAACTAGACATTTACAAAATGTAAATTATGAGTGTTTGTGAAACTAAAACTATGTGTGCAATATTGTGTAATTTCTTAGATTATGTCTTTCCCCTACAGAATAAGAGATGTGTTTGGACCACACAGAGCTCTCAACATTTTTATACAGCTAAAATTATTATTATTTTTAATAATCGCTCTGGGACTCAGGGGGGGACCCAAATCATCCTCACCCCTTCATTCACACAACACTCACTCATATCGCAGCGATCTGGCTGGGATTGAACCAGCAACCTCTGAACTTTGAGGCAGCGCTCTTACCAGTGAGCCACAGATCTCTTATCTGGATATGTGAAGGAACATAGATTTCACTATTCACCTGTGATTTTGCAATAAACCAGTTAAATCTTTGGCCAAGTCTCTCCTATTTCAGCCCCACTCCTTCATGTCACATGAATCTGACTGGGATCAAACCAGCAATCTTTGAACCGTGAGGCAGTGCTCTTACCAGTGAGCCACAGATATTTTGTCTGTGTATATGAAGGAACTTATACAGTATTTCATCATTCACCTTTGATTTTACTATAAACCAGCCAATGCTTTGGCAGAGTCTCTCTGTTGGGTGATCGCAATCACAACATGCTGAAGTGGGATTTGAACCCTTGTCCTCATCACAGCTTTATTGATAGAGAACATCTGTTTAGCCACTTGCACCACCGTGACTCACACTGAAACTTGGTGTTTAGGGAAGTTTGAGAACAATTGAATCTAAGCAATAGTGGGATTTGAACTCAACACAATGCTTTTATCGCCTGAGTCACTGATATTGGCTTCTTTTTTTTTTTAAGGACATAGATCACTTCATTTCTTGGACATTTGAATAAATCACCTAATCTTTTCTAGCAAATTGTCTGCACTTACTTGTATGAAATAACATTGTTTCTACAGTATATGAGAAATGTCATTATTCTTTTTTTAATAGGAAAGTAGAGCACAGATTGGAATGGGGCAGTGTGATCAAGAAAAGACCGGAATCAAACACAGGTGAGCCAGCAGCTCTTATATGTAGTGCCAGATGCTTTTGAAACACTGGTTCATGAAGCTTTGAATCTTTTATGAATCTTTCAGTTGAATCAGTGGCCAAGTCACTTGATTTCCATACAACAAGGCTTCGTTATATTTTTTAATATTTCTGTGTTTTAACTGATCTCGGGTCAGTTTTATAGTTTAGGCTTGATTTTAGTGACAAACATAAAAAATGGAGAGTGATATTAATAAAACAACACAAATTATACAGACACTTTATCTTAATGATATTTAATGATTTGTAGATTACATTAAATAGATTACACTTTCATGTGAAAACATTCACAATCAGTTTGTAAAAGGTGTCATTTTGGACTTTTATTTATTGCATTTAGCGGGTGTCCTCAGCTGCTACAGTCAATCATTTTGTAAATCAGTGATTTATTTAAATTGTTAGAGAGTTTTGAATAGTTCCATGCTTCCCATCACTACTTGTATGTAAAAGATGACGTCGACACATTACATGACTTACGGTATCAAAATAATTTGCAGTGAATTATTTAAAACTAAGAATTATTCCCACTACCTTTTGGTTTTCTCAGACAGACAGAAGACGACTATCTCCAATGTTCTGAGTTAGAGGGGGTCGGTCCAAACAGTAAGAGCCTCATGCTTGTGCAGATTCTGTTTAGCCAAATTAACAACCCCAGTTTAGGTGACTTACTCAAGTTCAACCAGACATTAATAATCAACCAGTCATCATCAGAAGGCAACATACATAAATAGGGTCTTTCCCAAAACCAACACATGCAATCTCTGCATTTGAGCATTGGTCAAATCACAGAGCTTTATTTACACATTTTGATTTTTAAAAGTTTGCACTTTAAAACAAACTTTTAAATGTCAGCTCAACAGACCACACAATTGAGTAATTGTCATGCTTCTAATTAAGTGATAAAAAGCAGCTACCAAATTAAATATAAATATTTAAATAATTTTACGCACACTGTTTTTCTTGACATCTCTTGATTTTGATGGGTTATGCTTAACCTTAAATACTGCCCTATAGCAGTATTAGAGATGTGAATGTAGTGTCCATTAAGGACAATGAGCTTCAAGTGGACTAGACCACAAGTGTGGGTATTGGGACAGACCCATAAACAGCCGTTAAGAAGAACCACCTTCCTCCACCTCCAGATGACACACTCATCCTCATGGGTGGACCTTCTCCTATGATTCTGTTTGCCTGCAAACCTGTATTTCTTGATTCTGGTCCAACACTGCACATTTTACTTTAAAATGTACAATTTTACTTTAAAATTTTATTGCCAACGCATTTTCAGAAAGCTACATGAACTGATCTGAGTCTATCGGATTAGAGAGACAAACTAAATGTGCAGCACTGTGGGTCCCAGGACTGGAGTTGAGCGCTACAAACAGTCATCATTGTAGATCCATTCCAGCAGAAGTCATCTAAAATAAATGAAAGGAAAAAAAACCCAAGAGGTTAATGACCAAATGTTGCATTGCTTCGATTCAGCACTAAGCGCATGATTCCATACATGCTGTATTCAGTGAGTAAAAACAAACCTATATGCCCTATTTAATGTAAGACTAATCATTTATTTGTCTTGTAAGACAATGTATTATATGCAAGACAAATAACTTATTCCCTATTGTTTTACCTGGTCTAACTGAAACCATAAAACTCACTGTCCAGATACTCCTCAAGGGGGAACATATTTCAGCTCTTCGACAAATAAAGCCGACGCGTAATGCGATAAAGAGCGTCACGCTTCTCACCTGTAAGTACTTTCATCATACTCTTCACTTCTCTAGCAGTATTCTCATTTAGTCCTTTTTTATTTGTAAGTCATTATTTCGATGGTGTCTTTAACTTAAAATCTACTGTTTAACTTAAAATCTACTGTTTAAAATAGCTACTTGCTTAGGAAGGTTTATGAAGCTTCTATGAAAGTGTATCAGTCTTTGTTTACATGCTGCTCTCTGAACTCTCTGTTAGACCATTCAAATAACGAACAAATAGCCTTCTAATATTCATATTGTGAAATAGGAATCGTGTGTTATTCTGTGTTGTTGTAGTCTTGCTCTAGGCAATAATCTGCTGTTAACTACTGACCTGTTATTGTTCATGTTTTACTTTATTAATTGTTTATGATGAACTAAAAACTGACCATAACCTTTCAAGATCAAAATAATGTAAATATTCCAGAGAACCAACAAACTTTTGTTTTGTTTTGTCAACAGTCATACTGAAAGAGAGTTTTCTATTCAGTGTTCTTATACTTTTGTGACATGTAAAACAGTAATTTAATTCTGTCATCGGAACTAACCTGAGAAGAACAGTAGATTGAACCAAAATGATTACTGATACAGCAGTATTTAAGTATAATATGCTTTGCATTAAATTTTCACACTATATAGCTTTAATTTCATATGTAGACAATACCTGTCTTTATTGTATTACTGTGTCTTATTTTGTATACGTTTCCCCTACAGAATAAGAGATGTGTTTGGACCACACAGAGCTCTGGGACGTGTGGACAGACATTCGCTGTAATGAAGGACATCTGCTCATGGACAGGTGAGACTTATTACTTGTGTTTGTGTTTTATTGTGTACTTGGCATGTAGGTTACCATCATTTTCTTTTTGGAGGCTCACCCCTCTAGAAAGCAAATGATGGTAACCTAAATGGGTGGGGAAGGGACGGAGGTTCAAAATTTTTATACAGCTAATTTTTTTTTTTTATTATCAAGAAGCATAACCGCTGCTGGACATTGCTCTGGGACTCAGGGGGGGACCCGAATCATCCTCACCCCTTCATTCACACAACACTCACTCATATCGCAGAGATCTGGCTGGGATCGAACCAGCAACCTCTGAACCATGAGGCAGTGCTCTTACCTGTGAGCCACAGATCTCTTATTTGAACATGTGCTGGAACTTATATTTCACTGTTCACCTGTGATTTTGCAATAAACCAGTTAAAGCATTGGCCAAGTCTCTCCTATTTCATCCCCACTCCTTCATGTCACAGGAATCTGGCTGGGATCAAACCAGCAACCTCTGAACCTTGAGGCAGTGCTCTTACCAGTGAGCCACAGATCTCTTGTCTCAATGTGTTAAGTAACTTATATTTCACCACTCACCTGCATGTGATTTTACAATAAACCAGTTAAAGCTTACGTATAATCTTTCCTGAATCACCCCCACTCCTTCATACCACAGGAATCTAGCTGGGATTGAACCAGCAACCTCTGACCCGTGAGGCAGCACTCTTACCAGTGAGCCACAGATCTCTTGTCTCGATGTGTTAAGTAACTTATATTTCACCACTCACCTGTGAAATAAACCAGTTAAATTTTGCTGAGGTGGGATTTGAATCCTTGTCTGGATCACAGCCTTCACTTCCAAAAGCATGTATTTAGCTATATGATGACAATTTAACACAAGCAATAGTGGGATTCGAACGCAGGTCTCCAAGATTAAAAATGCAATGTTTTACCTACTGAGCCACTGAGTTTGTAGTGCTGTTTGCAAGTTTGTTTCAGGGGTCTTTTTGATGTTATGTTTAGTTAAAGCATTAATTAAAGCTGCCAGCATACCATAGATTCCACTGTCCGTAAGTAACAGCTGGATTTGAACTCAGGTCTCCAAGATATAAACACAACCTTTAATCCTCTGAGACACCGACTCTGGATATAAACTGTTTTGACCTTGATATTCTTGAGAACCTTGTGTCATATGATGAAAAATGTAGCTTACATCGTTAAAACAGAAAAGAGATTATTGCACTTGTAAAATTTGAACATCTGTGTTGTAGTTTTGTTTTTCAAAGACCCGCATTTAAACCACACCATCATGACTGTTTTTTTTTTTTTGTAGTGGGATCTCAGCAAATGCAAAAACACAAGACTCAGTTCGCTGAGCTTGAAGGGGTCATTTTTGTCACATATAAATATTAAGAAAAATGGAATCTGAACACATTAACTGTGTGAATGTATTTAATTTTTATGGAGCATTTTGCTTTTATTTACAAGATTTAAGTTGGACTCAAACCTGTGTCTCCAAGAGCTAACAACTCTTTTATGTGTACTAGAGATGGTCACAGCTCACCCATTAAGAAAATAAATAAATAAATAAATAGGTTATGATTACATTTCTTTTGGCTAAAAGCAATTCATTATTCACAGGATTCATCAATGCTCGTGTCAGCCTGATCAACTCATTCTCCGTGTTTGTTGAGATTTTGCAGGGGAAGAAGCTGATATCAAATGTGTTTTATGAGTATTGAGTGAAATATTGTACCAAATAGAATGTTGTGGGAAATAAATCCAATCGATTTATTAACAAATGTCTGTCAGATGTCAGTCTTGTGTTTAAATGCATGAAACTGATAACACAAACACATAACTTGTAAACAACATTTGTTTATTGAAATATGAATTAGTAACATAGAACCCGACAAACAAACCCAGCAAGTTTCTAGTAATCCTAAAGCCCTTGATTAGCTGTTTCAGGTGTTTTCAATCAGGTTAGAGCTAAACTCAGGGAAGTGGCTCAATTGGAGCAGGATTAGACAGAACTGCCTTTTCCTCCTGCTGTCGGTTTAAATGTATAAATGCAGATACACTTATTGTCCACAAGTGGGAGCTGATACACTGATCTGATCTCATGCATGATGTGCAATGTACTGAATGTTAATCAGTAAAAAAGACTCCATTATACACAATGTAAATGTTTAGTTGTTTTATCAGTCAGTAATTCATAGGTTATAGATGTTAACAGTAATTTTTATTTTAATGATCGTTTAACTAATGATCAGTGATCAATCCATGATTTAACATGAATTTGTAGGTCTGCAGAAGCCAAACTCTTCTTCCTTCATCTTTAACCTCATGACCATCCAGAGCTCCGGATATAGACTCAGAGCTTCACATCCTCCTCATCAGTGACTGAGAAAGAGCCTCACCAAAAGCTTCCTGATGGAGAAAAGAGAAATGAGAGAAAAAGATTTCTGATGCTGCTGTATCAGCAAAAAAAAAGGTGTTTTTATGGAAATTAAAATCACATGACACAGACCATGTAAATTAAATAAATATTTATCTATTGGTTAGAATGCATGTTGGCTTTTGTTATGCACTTATTTACAGCAATTGATTTATACATGTGTAATAAACTGAAAAGCATGTTGTACTTGAATAGTCTCCACCATAGTTTGCGGTGCTGCATTATGAATGCTCCAGTCACTCACAGAAAGGAGTGTGAATATATGGTTTCCCTACTGATCTGGAGAGGAGAAAAAAAAAAGTTGTTAAATTCACTTATTTGTATAGCACTTTTTATTATACACATCGTTTCAAAGCAGCTTTACAGAAAATGAATGTTTCTACATTACAAATAAGAGTTCTGTTAACAGGTGTAACTGTGCAAAAGTAATGTTCATATGGCAGAAATGTTCTAAAATTAGGCTAAACAAATCATGCAGTTAAGTAACATCATGTATACAGAAACAATGAACAAATTAAAGCATGATGTGATCATGTTGATTACAATGAAAGGAAAATGTAGCAGTTTGGTATGTTTATTCAGAGTCAGCTTCATCTGAAGTCCTCTCAAGGGTTGGCGTCATCTCTTCACAGGTGTTGGGTCATCTGAAGTCTTCATAAGAGGCTGGATATAGTCAGCAGGACCAACCTATAGATTACACCAGCAAAATGTGATGTAATCATACTTGGGAACTGGCACTTTTTCCACAAAGACACAAGAACAGGGAAAGACTTGCAAAGCCCAGTGAAGAGACTCATTGTGAGGGTGATGTCTCATTACAGGGAGTCTTCAGGTGGTTCTTGTTCTGAAAGCAAGGTAGAGAAGGAGAAAAACACCGGAGAAATGGTTAAGTGATGCTCCATCACATTTCAGTCCTGTGGCATCTGCTCCTCCAACACAGTACTTCTATAGTAGCCAAGACGTTTAAGTATAAAATACAGTAATGTACAGGTTTACTGTGATTACTTCTATTATATAGTAATGGGATATAATACATTTTTTGGAAATTTAGCCTAGCATGATTCTGAAATGACAACTGCTCACCTATTTTAAACTTTTCATTCTCCTTTAGGTCCATCAGCATCCTTCGCAATAAATCCAAGTCTATTAAATAACTCCCAGTCCCCACCAGCAAAAATCACGTTTAAAAGCCTTAATTACACAACGATGGATGAAGCTGCATGAAGAGAATGAATAGCATCCCGTAAATCTACTAATTAAGTGAGGAATAATCTTATAATAAACAGTTTTAATGCACAAGGTAATTTGATAAGCTGTGCTGATAATATACAATTGTATTATATACATGACTTACCTTTTAAAAGTTCGTCACAGCGGTCTCTTCTGCTGCATCTCTACGGTGCTGATAGTATGAGCGCTAACTTCCAGGAACTATTGAACGGCTCCACGATGCGCCGTAAAAAAAAAAAAAAACTGGTCCATTGGAGTGAACGGAGTTGTCGCAACTCGCAACTCTCTCTCTACGGCTCTGGTTCAAACAACACGTGCAGACCGTTTTAAACACAGCTTCTGCATATGACAGCTCAGTGACAATAATGTCACTAAACAACACTTCCAGCTCATCGGCAAATAAAATCGACGCACAATGCGATAAGTGATGTTTTATTAACAAATTTCGGGAGGAGCACGCGCAGATAATTAACACGGCCAATCCATCATCAGTAATTACACCATCTATCCAATCAGCACAAGAGAGAACCCCTATAAATAATCAAAGCAGTCTTACCTTCATTATCTAGTCTTTCAGCATCCCTCTACCACCCCGAGTCCTCACCTTCAGCCCGTTCCTATCCCAGCACGGGGAGGAGCGCTCTGGGTCCTGGCTAAAAGCCGAGCTCGGACCCCTCTCCCCGGACAGAGGGAGTACCCCGGGCTAGAGAGTAATTACCGAGCTCGGACCCCTCTCCCTGGACAGCACGCCAAATACGCATAACCTTTACTCAGTTTATTATATGTAAGTGTGAACTCGTGAAAGTGCAGGAAACGAGTGTCACAGGAGTCACATTAAAGTGTCCTTTCACACAGTGCATTTCTCTTGCATTATCTTCATTCAGTCTTTTATTATTAGATCTTTTGTTCTAAAAAAGTGGTGAGGGCAGTGCTGGTTATGACATCACAAAACAGCATTTTTAATTTGGCAATAGAGTATTTGCTTTGAGTATTTGCTACCAAGAGTAAACACATATCTATGTAAACCTCAACAATTAGCAGTGTCCAAAAATAATAAGTAACACAGTTATTTGATGTTATAGAGATTTGTGCTGACACATTCAACTTCTCAAAGAAGGTTGTGACATTTAATCTGATAACTTTGACAATTAAATTTGCCATTGTCTGTCCCGGGATTCTATACAGTAGGCCTAGCTTATTTCCAAGTAGGATCTGCTGGTCCACTTTCACTTCCAAACCAGGAATTCATCCATCCATTCAGTCCCTTTCATTTACATCTCCTGTTGTGTTTCATGGAAGAAAATAAAAAAACATACAAACAAGTTTGGAATGGCGTGATGAATTTTCAATTTTGGGTGAGCTATATTCCTTAAAGAGATCTGCTCAATTGTGTGCCAGTCGAGGGTTATACTGATGTAATTTAGGAAGCAACATACCAGGATCAGGATTGTGAAAAAATAAAAGGATATGGGAGAGGACGAGACCCACACAGATAAATGAAGAGAGAATTCCACACATAGATCCAGGGTCAGGGCATAGTGGGAGAGAGAGACGTCTGTGGGGGATGTGCTGGCTTCAAATAAAGATAGAAAGAGCCAAAGGATCCCCTAGATGAAAAACAACAAGGTATCACTAGATACTGGCATTCTATACAGATTATAGGGATAACTAATCAGAGCATCCTGATACTCTGAGA